TTTCTTTCCTTGTTCAAGCATAATCATTGCATATCTCATTGCATAAATCGATAAATAGTTTTCGAAATTTAAATAGATAATTTAAATTTTCCCGCACTTTATCCTACAGTCTTCTTTAATTCATGCGTCGTTTCGAATTGGCCAAACGATGTGACCTTAGAAGGATTTCAAGGCCTCCATGGGGCCTGCGAGAAGTCGACCCCTTTTCTTCGCTACCGTTTCTTCCGATCCTGCGAACATAACTGTGCTTTCCGAATCGTCTTTAGCAAAAAAAGATGAAATTCGTGTTATTCACCTTGATAAGAAAATGAATTCTGGAGGCGCCGTATGGCCATTCGCGAAAATGATTTTTCTCCCTTTTCCCTTCTTCTCTCTCACTCATTTTATCTCTTTCTCCTTCACAGTCTCCTCTTTCTCTCTTGGCGAACCAGCAGATCGCCATCCATTCGTTGGGAATGGAAGTTCGGAACAATAAACAGTAATGGCGCATACGTGCTCGGGGATTTACTTCTGGGATCCCTTCTCGCCTCCTCCTCTCGCGTACCCGCTTCGTCGACTGGAACCCGTTCTTCTCCCGATTGAATTCAATGGTTACCCTCGTCGTCTTATTTATTGGATGCGTTCTTTCGCTCCGCCGGTGCGCACAACTGCAACTGCGCACACAACTGCAACACACTCGTACTCTTTCCGGCGACGCTCTTTCTCTTTTTCCATGCCTCTTTATTTTCTTCCATCATAATTCAGTTAAATTCGTGCGGGGTGACGTAACCACCGTAATTGATCAATTAAGACGTTTCTTCCACGTGAAAGATTTAACCCGAGAAATACCACAAACCTGTTTCCGGAAAATCGCTTCTCGCAAAAACGAGTCTATCCGCCCAGAAAATAGTATCGTAAAAAGCTGTTAAGAACTCAAATGTCATATATACTTTATGTTGCAAGTAAAAAATAAAAAAAGCACACCGTTAGGCAAAGGGAACAAGAAAGCGGGCTTTGACTTCTGGTGTGATTTTACACGCGAATTGAATCAGAATTACAGACTTTTCCAACACGCCTTTCGACTCCTTCGACAAGATCTCTCTGTCTCTGCAGAAAGAGGAACGGCTCCGGGCCTTGGCGGACAGTGACAGATAGGTATCGGCACCGGGAGATGCATCGATTGGCCGATCTGGCCGGAAAAGAATGTTGCCGTGGCCAATGCGTAGCCACTGCCAGCAGAATGGCCGGCCGGAGCGCTATAATGCCGCCTGCGCGAGTTTCTTGCCGTGCTGCCGGTATCGGAATCCTTTTCTCGTTCCATCGTCGATTCTCAGTTCTCATCCTCGACGATTTTGGCTTCTAACTTGCCCTGACAAATTGTAATCTCATTCTTAAACCGTCAAATCTATTCTCCCACCTTCCACCACCGAGCTTCTCGGACAACTTCAGGCAACTTCCCAGGACTCGCGTGTCCTTCCCTCGCAAGAAAGGACAATATCTTTTTAATTCCAAAAATTCAAATTGACATAAGGCATACTCTAGTCACTAAATATGCAAATATGTACACTGCAAATATGTAAATATTTTCACTAGAAACAATCTTCATAATTATAAAATATTTTTATATATTGTATATACATATATATGTATTTAATGCAAATTTTGCATAAACGAATATAAATGTTGATATTAATAATTTGATTTTAATTTTATATAAGTAAAATCAAACTTGACTACTATATTCCGCGAGAAAGAGTATATATATATATTTTTTTTTAAACCTGTTCTTGTATGTAAAAAAAAGTTTAAGAAAGTAGAGAGCTCTAAATTCTTAGATCAAACTACTGACTATAATTTTCTATTTATGTCTCGTATGATACGTCAACTAGTCTGGTGTCATGCATTTAGATGCGATGCGTTTCACAACTTAGAAGTAGTCGAATTATCATCTTCTTGCTTTTCTGCTATTGTCACGAGAGTGCCTCTGCGATCCGCCGTCGGTCGCTCGATGTCTCGCCATGGACTCGTTCCCATCGCCGGCATGTCCCTTTCGCAAAAACTGTCCCAATTATATATAAAGACAATAAAACATCGCGAGAGAGTCTCCCTCTCCCAGGCTGGCTGTTCCCACCCGTGGCTACACACGCAGGACTTCATGGACGATTTTATGGCTGTTGGTCGTAAATTCCGGTTGGTAGTCCAGGGAGAGTGATCCTCGCTCTCGTCGATTATAAAATAACTGGGAATCACGCGCGGCACCGGCCCCGGTCGCCATCTTGGCTTGTGTCCGAAGCCGAAACGGTCGTAAAATCCAGCGGAAATCATATCGAGATGCGATACGAGTTCGTGCATCAAACGACGTAATTCGAGTGAACGCGAAGAAATTAATGGCTCCGATCTCGATTCCTGGCGGAATCGCCATTTTTCTCATTTCCATCGATCGAAGTACCATCGTCCGTTCATGTTTTATTAAATAATAGTAACGACAAACTTCAACTTCAACTTTTAGATTTAAGCGTTTCTACATTTAAGATATTTTTCGACATTTTTCAAAAAAGATATTATAAATTTTCGCACGATGACGGTTTCGATACCGTTAATGATTTTTATCGTACTGTAATTTTATCGTTTATCATCTAGTTTGAAGGAATAAAGCGATTAAAAATGAAGATTATAATCAAAACGAGTATCTCGATGTGACGATGAGGTGGTTTTATCGCCAAAGGTTCGCACATTGGATCATTGAGCGATTAGACATCTGCGTAGCGCGCGGGACTTTGTCAAAGAATCCCGCTCGCCGATGTCGAATGCTCCAGTTAACGAGCCGAATAATCGTGCGGGCGAAATGAAATAACATCTGCGATTCTTGTAGGCCCGAGCAAATGTTTGCACGAAGGAACCGCTCCGCTATACCCGTTGCTCGGGTAAATAATGCAACTCCGCCGATTAACTCGTTTGCTGTAGCGTGGAATAAAGACGGAATAGAAAGAGAGAGAAAGAGAGAACAAGGAGAGAAATGTAAAGAGAAGCAATCTGAAAGAAATCTGATACCACAACTACAAAAAAAAAAAAAAAAAGAAAAAAAAAAAAAAAAAAGAAACAAATGTTAAACTGAGACATTTTGGGGGACGGGGATAATTCTAGAAGAAAGAAAAAGAGAGAGAAAAGGGAACGGAGACAGAAGAAGAAGATCGTTCACGATCGTACAAGATTGAACATACATTGGCTTGACTCACCGAGCGCTCCAGCGGCCAGTCTCATCGTGACGGGAAGCTCGGAGCCGGTGACTTCCGACAGCTTCCGTTTCCGCGGTCGGCCCTTCTGCACCGCGCCAGAGGTGGTGATCGGGCTCTGCTCGTAGTACGCCGGAAGCGGCGACATTCCCGGCGAGCCGAGGTCCTCGATGCTACCGGCGGCACCCCCGTAATCGCCGGCGCAGCACAGCAGCTCATAGTGTGGTCTTGGGAGCGACGTGCTCGTCAGTCGTCAACCTCTCTGTCAAGTAGTCGATAGACGACCTGACCTCCGCGTTATATGCCGAGTTCGATGAACGAGTTCGACTTCGTGATTACCGCGTCGGATACCACGCGGGGTGGGATTTGGCAAGCGACGGATTACCATTAGCCGAAGGGCAGTTAATTAAGCGAGCTGTTGGGTGTTTGAGTTTGAGACATTTGGTTTTCTCTTTACCTCATCCCGGTAAAGTCTCTTGGATCTCTTGATTTTGGAATTAAAGAATCAATTTGATTGTCGCATAATCTTACAGTACGTACAATATTTTATTTTGTAAATCTTTACAAAGGAATCACGAATCCTCCTTTAAGTATTGACACGTATAAATTCTTATTCTCACGTCTCGCGGTCTCTATCGTCGCAATCGTTTTCCCGGAATACAAAATCAAATTCATCCATTCCAATGACCATTATTAGCACTCAACAACTGTCATTAGCGCGGTAGGTAGGGAAGATGAGGGGAGAATGACTTGGTGCGACAAAACGCCTCGTGCTCCTGTCAACCTCATCATCGAACTCGTTGATAACGAGGAGAGACGGCCTTTGAAGGATAGTAATGATCAGACACTCCTGTTTCTCACCTACAATACACCAGTCCGTCCCGCTGGCCGAAATGATCGCCTTTGTTCAGCGGGGTGCCGCACGAGGCGCAAGTGAAACATGCCACGTGATACACCAAGTCGCGCGCTCGCATCACCAGTTCCGAGGCGGAAATGCCAGCGCGACATCGGGAGCATCGGGACACCGCAAATAGTCTGCAATATTAAAACAATTGAAAAAAAAAACAGGATCTTTAGGATCTTGAATCCTCGAATTTCATGTGTTTGAAAAATGTTGCCTTTTTAAATATTTCTAGTCATTAAGAAATGATCTTAAAGGGATACTGGAAGGGCAAGCGAACTCTGACAAAAACGTCCATATATGTGTACTGTGTGTGTGTGTGTGTGTGTGTGTGT